GGTGGCGGACCAAGATGCTGTCAGTCATTGGCATTGGCATTGGAAGTGGCATTGGCACTGTCGTTTGTCGTTTGTTGATGTCTCGCCTTCCTCGGTCCTTTCCCAGGGCCATGTATACGTGTCTCTAGTCTATCTAGTACGTATCCGTACTGACAGAAAGATACGGCGGTCAGCCATCGCAGAACTGCCAACGCTCATTGGAATGACGCTAATCCGCGTTCAAGATGTAACCGATTCGCTCATCTGGTGGGGGTGATTCGGAGTTGGCTGGGAAGCTAGGAGCTAAGGTGGTAAAGACAAGTACCTAGCTTTGGGCCTCGAGTCGTTCGCCTCGACCGAGTGTGTCCCGCGACAATGTCTCACTCGCTGCGGCACCCGAGCCCAAGGTAAGGTGAGTTGAGGCAAGAATAGTACTCTGTACTCTGTAGCTCGCCTTCGCTTTACAGTCAGTATGGCTTCTTCGCGTACTTTGGCGGGCTCCATTTTGAACAAGACAATAGTCTTTTGGGGCCTCGGCGCTCGCTGCGCAGACACTGCGGCTGGACGGGCAAAGAGTCGAAACCCGACGAAAAACGGGTATCGAACCGGCGCTGCTGCGTTTGTTGCAGCATGCGCGAAAAGCTCCCAGAACTGCCTCCACATCTCTTCCCACAGCACTTTCCTGCTGCATCTTGCCATTTTGCGAATTTGGCAACGGTCTCTTTGACGATGGAGTAATTCTCGAAGAACATGTCGTCCAGCCGAGTCTGATCGGCTGTGTTGACGGCGTGGCCTACTCGATAAGCCAGAAATACATGCCCTTGCCGTCGGTGTCGGAGCTGGCCGCGTGCTCTTCCAAGGGATTGGCCGCACTCTGTCAGGTCATCGACGTCCTGCTATCAACCTCGATTCGTGGTATCCGTACTCCGTAGGAAGCAAAAGTATCTGTTATCCCAAGAAATCGTACATGGCTCTAGAGCCATTGGATGCATTGGCAAGCCTCTCCGTTATCGTATACCGGCATACAGACAGAGCGCCAACGAAAACCCCTCTCCACTTGTGTCGTCTTGTCTTAACTGCCTGGGAGCCTGGAGGTGGTCTTGATTTCTCAGTCGTGTGCGCCTCTCCACTTAGATAAGGCGACGGCAGACGAGAGGCCAGCCTTTCTTCGCAGGATTGGTGGACCGGCCGTTGAACGGCCGTGTTGCGCACGCCCCCTCCTTGACTGACATGAACGGGAAAGTCGCGAATTCAGTGCCTTGGCTCATCGAATCAGTATACACAGTAGCCCACATGCTGACTCCCTCTTAAGAATCAATCATTGTATGGACTAACCGAGCCGAGTACAAAGCAAACATTGTGTACGAATACTATTTTCCTCCGTACTGAGCGAATTCGAGGGCCCCGTAATAGTCCCTACGCAGGCGCGCGGAGACGATGCGGAGGCGATTTGGCCCTTGCCCTCTTTCTTTACCGGGGAAGAGTCGCCCACAAGGATGTCCAATGGCTGTCAGGTTAAATCGACAGGGGTTGGCTTTCACAGGCTGTGGAGGGTCAAAGTGTCTTTGGGTTGCCAATGGCCCTGCCCTGCTCTGCACTGTCCTGCTGACTGAAGAAAGGACGGTGGCATGGTCCGACGCGTTGGTAAGCTTTGCAACTTTATTAGTAGATCAGGGCATACAGGTTTTGGCACTTGGTAGTACCAATGGTCGCCAGCAAGATGCATGTCTCCTTGGTTGCTTCGATGCAGTTGACGACCGCCATGGCCTGATGGCGCTGCACGGCTGAGGGTTGGGAATCCTAGAGAAGAAGAGACATAGATAACCGCGGTTTGTTTAATTGGACTTTGGCGAGGGGGCCGAGCCTGGGCTTATGGACTGAGAGTGTGATATTGACCATGTGGTGGATTTTTTTTTTTTGGTGGTGTTGGCTACACTGCCAGGATTTTTGGTAGACCGGAGGTGAATCAGAGGCACCATTGATTGCCGCTACGGTGTAGACAGGCGAAAGGTTACCGCAGGCGGTGATAGAGCGAGAAGGGTGATAGGATTGAGGCGATGGTGGGCTCGGCCGGCCGACTCGAGCATGTGGAATTGGATAGCGCAGCAGGAGCTGGAGAGGAGCGCATTCGCGTCTCGGCTGTCGTCCCAAAGTGGACAGCTGCAGTATCTCGTGTGTCCCCGTAGTTTATCATTGCTTTCTAGGAAGGGTCATGTAATAAACAGCCGCCCAGTCGAGTATGTATGCTCTAGCGTTGGCGCGGCGCAAAGTACACGATTGTCGGCATCGTATGCCTGGGTCTCTGTTCTGTTGAGCTGGCGCGGGTGGGAGGCAACAGCTGATGCCGAGTAGACAAATGGTCGGCGAGGAATAAGCGGATGGCACAAAGTCACGGCGGACGCCTGCAAGATCAAGGGGGTGGAAGGTTGACGAGTTGCCAAGCCATTAAGGTGGCTGACGCAGGAGACGGAAGCCATGGCCGTTGCGTTGCCGCCGGGTGTGGTGAGTCAACTTAATCCATCGAAAAGAAGTGCCATATCAGAGCGTCGTCCGATGCCTCGAGGTCAAGGCCGTTTGTTCCTCCCTCGGGTATCAGCATTTAACGATCGCAGCCGAGTACACTACCTAATAAGGAGGGATGTGCGCAACATCGGCCGACCATGGCACAGACCAGGCATGAACCGCGGTCCGATAGCGCTGGCAATTGTACATCAGCAACACCAGTAAACAGTCACGGGGCCTTCTTCCCTGCCTGATCAGAAGCTGTCTGTCTCACTCTTGCTAGAGAAAGATCTCCGAGAAGGAGGGTTGCCGCGTGGGAAAGTCGAGACTCGAGACTTGAGAGCATGGTCGACATGAGGCTAGGCCGTTCCTGAATTGAAAGTATGCTCAAGTGTTGGGTGACTTGGGTCCCGAAGAATTTAGCGGTGCTAAGGCGAGATAGTCGACAGTCCAGCTGAAATTTGAGTTCAATCGATGGCAGGTAAAAAATGCAGGGTATATGCGCGCGATGAACATAGTTAGGATAAGGCGGTGGTGGGGGAGGATTTGGAGATCGGAGAACTTAGAAGAGGAGAGCTGTGATCCAGGACTGAGGGTGAGGAAGAAGAGGGACTGGAACCGTGGGACGTGGAGGAGGAAGGGGAGGAGGGGGAGGAGGGGGAGGGGGCTGGGCGTGGGGGTAAAGAGAGGGGGGCGTGTGTTGAGCAAGGGCTGGGTCGGGAGGAAGGAAGGAAAGCAATGCAGATTGCAGGCAAGAAGGAGGCACGGCAGGCTGGCAGGTACGGAGAGCAGGAGCAAAGTCGAACAAGTGCAAGAGCAGTCGGTCGGGTGTGGGTGGACCTGCTGCTTTTGCCTATCAATCCTTTCCTCACAATTACGGATGCGGATGCCCATTTTCTTTTCCCACCCTCGGTCAAGGCCTTATTCCTGGGTATTCACAGATACGGGCAACGAGCTGATATCTTTCAGTTTCCGAGTCAGGTGAGAAAACCATCCGTGTCTCTTTTCCCTCCCCATTCTGAGACCAGACTAACCGACTGTGGCGGGCAGTGAGAAACCTACTTGGGTGGTGTGCGTCGCACCAAGCCCGCCACGGGGATTTGGAGTAATGTCTGTACGGAATGCAGTCTGCACAGATTGTACAGAGACGGTACTCCGTATCTAAGATACCATGACATTCACCCCCGAGCTCGGGATACCTTTGACTCGGATATCAGAACGCCATTGCCGTCTTCGTCCTCACGACCGCAGGGAGCGAAACGCAACGGTCACGGCAACGGCAACTGCAAGTCGCAGTCCACTCAAGGCACACCATCATGTCTTGCCCTGCGATGCAGCGATGCACCCGTGTCTCTGCCGTATCCGTACCTTGCTTGCGATTTACCCTGCCTTGCCTGTCCTGCCCTACTCTAGAGTCTGCTCCCCCTGCGTGCGGCCCCAACAGTGGACAGCGCGGGAGAGGCCATCTCGTCATCTGTTGGTCGAGGCCCTAGCCAGCGACAAGTGGATGACACCCGCCGCCGGACCACCACTGACCACTGATCATAACGGCACAGAACGGATACCACTCTGGGGAGAGGAAGGGGCACGGCACGCACGGGTGGGAATTTGGGAAGAAGCACACACATTGAGGTCTTGAGCATCGGGGGGAAAGCTTGGGCCACCGCTTAGGTTGCTGTTTCCCACCTCCCACTGGCCAGATCCATCCAGTTTCCTGTCACCAGGAACCACGATGGAGTCCACGGCTTGCACGGGGTCCCATAAGTGGCCCGATTCGGCTGTGACAATCGAGATGGATCAATCAATGGAGATGGGTTGGTTGCTCGCTCTGTTTTTGTCTTTACGTACTCATCATTCTTCAGCTGCTACATAGCTTATTCCAGCCCGGATACACCACCCTTTGGCCTTATGGATGTCATGTATCTGTAAGCCGTACAAGGCCATCTCATCCGTCTCACGCACCTCCCTTCCTTGCCACGCCGTGCGGGTCAGATCCGGTCCCGCCCGTAGTCACGGGCAGTAGCGGCGCTCAAAGGTTCCCGTCCTTTTTTGCAATCTGCCATCCAGTGTGTGTTGCAGCAGCTGTCAGCATCGAGCAATAGGGTGCCTTGCGGATTCAATCTGCTTCCCCAACGCAAGGCAAGGGCAAAGGTACCTCATGTGCATCTGCACCTGCTGCTTCGCACTGGCACTTCCTATCTCTGCCTCGACATAGTACCGCGCCGCCTGTGCCTTGTCATGTCATGCCATGCCACGCCACTGGTGATGGCCCTCCTCAGCACCTTACCTAAGATATGCATACGTACTGCGTAGTAAGTAACAAGGTATTCCTTCTACGACCCTTCCCAGCCATGCCTTCCCAATCATATCTCTACCGGCTTACACCAGCTTCGGCCATACGGTTGGAACAGACAATTGCCATTCTGACCAATGTCTCTTCCAGATAATCGAGCCCACAATTACCGCCCTCTTGATGTATCCTTTTTTCCAACGGCCAGAGCTCGCGAAAATTGATTGGGATGTACGAGACAACACCAACCAACAGGCAGAGTGGCGTTACCAAGTATGCCTCTTCACACCGCTGTACAGTAGGGTGCCAAAAGTTCGTGTACACCCTCCCAGTGCGTCACCTTAAGCCCACTAATTACGTCTCTTTATAACTATAAATATCTTATAAACTTAGGTATGAACAGAACAATTCAAAATCTTAATAAAATATTTAACTATATAAAGTATATAGAAATATTTTTTATATATTTTAATATACGTTATATTAGTATGTTATAATAAGATATATAAGTAGAGTAGAGAAGAAAGATGAATTTATTAAGAAGTACAGTGCTATTCGTACTCAAGAGGCCCTATAATCTATTATAATAAAAGCCTCTTAAAACTAATTTATTAAAAGATTTATTTAACGCTTTAATTAATAAGTAAAGCATAGTGCAACTTATATATATACTAGAATAATAGTAAAATAGTTATATAGTGATTTTTATTTAGTTTTTTTTATTATAATAAGGCTCTTATTCGCTGTTGAAAAGCGGTACTTTGGCGGGATACTGTGCGCTGCACACGAACCTTTGACACCCCACTGTAGCTCACGCGACACCGCTCCGAGCCTCGATTCGGACCAATAGTGTCAATCCCAAAGTCGGAGGACGAGAGAACCCCACACAACCAACAGATACGATACCTTTCCAATGGCGCCCGAGTCTTCAACTAGCAACTAGTATCCGTCTAGTAACCGCTCGTCCGGCATGCCTCCAGACACCAGTATCTTAGGTTACCAGAGATTGTTCCCGACCCAACCACATCCTTCCTTAGCCAGGCCCTGTGGCTGGATTCTCGCAATCCTCGTGCGGAATCGGCCGCATCGACGCAACTCCTGAAAGTACATGGGCTGGTTTTACCTGTCAAAGAACAACCACTCGGTCCCTTGGAGATATGTTGAAGAGTTTCACTGCATATCTGCCAACTTGCCCGACTGAGCAGGTCCTTTGAATGATACCATTTGGGTCCTTGGGGGAAGTTCCACGCTAACCTGACGCCCGCCAATCGACCAATCCCAGCCTCTCTTTCCGTCCAAAGTAGCTCAAGATAATACTTTGTACTTATCAAAATCCCACATCGATGCCCGCACCCCCATCCGTCTACCGCACTACGCCTCCGACTTACCCCTCGCCATTTTCGGCCGTCTACTGCCACTCGCCTTTCCTTCTTCGGGCTTGGTATCTCACCCCGTCCATCTCCTAGCGCCCACCTGACAAGCCCTCAATCCGGGGGGGAGCACTTACAGGCGTACTTACTTTTGTCTCACCAGCTTGCGCCTTGGGGAATCCGAGGTCAACCTCGTCCGCCACACCATGGCTAAATCGAGACTAACTCCCCCGGCACCCATCATATTGCGTCCCTCGAAGCTGAAATTGCTTTCCAGGGTTCTTTGTGTCAAATCCACGTGGAAGAGCAGAGAACCGCCAGGGAGAAACGAACGGCGAGCCAGTTCCAGACTATCGAAGAATGGCATCAGGTACAAGAACAAGTTGACAAGGGGGTCGTCAAGCCATGCTTGGGGTTATCAACACGGCGATTTTGTCTGTTACGTGTGCAAAACAGCCTTGGATAAGGTGCCCAAGAACAAGCCTGCAGGGCCACAGCGTCGCTGCCACTTGCGTGTCGATGGCGTTGCTAAAACGCGGCGCAGGCTACCTCAATCTTCCAGCTTCTACGAATTACTGGCGAAAACAAATTCCCGCGGGAATTTCATATCACCTAGGAGCGTGTCCGCTGTACCAGACATTCCACCATCTTGAGACATGAAAGGATCCGATCCCATCCTCCCATACGCAGTAGACGCTCCCACGGCTCCTAGGCCGTGGTTGACTGGTACACGCTGCTTCGAAGATGGCACGGTCATAACGGCCCGATTCCGCGCTCTGAACGATCCTCCAAAGTCCAAGGAGCCCCAGCCTCGATCTTCATACTCAGTAGTCAGCAGTTGGCTGCGGCTGTTGACTTTTTGTCTGTGTGCCTGTGCACCTGTCTCTTATGATCTGCTTCGGTATCCGATACTGGCGGCTTGCTCACCAGGCAGAATTACTCTACGCCTTATGGTTCTCACTAGCCGTGCGTTGTCATCCGATCGACAAAACGTCACCAACGTCCGTGTGTAAGACGTGTACGTAGTGCTTCTCCAGCTTACACAACGTAAAGGACATGAAGGGGGAAAGGGTACACCGGTCATGAAACACCATTGTCGGATCCAATTTGTTTTTGCGGGATGCTTGGCTTACATTCGTAAACGGGAGGCACCTGACAATATATCGGCACTCACACTACTCCAGGACGTCAGAAACTCGGTCTCGGGTCTGGAGTTTCCGCTCAAGGATTTTCTCCAACCCAAGGACTTTCAAAGCTAAAAGGCTGTACTAGGCATTTGTAAACGTACATTCCGACATCGACCGACCATCGCGGCCTTCTGCACGAAGAGTTTGCGATTAGGTAGGTGCCTAGGGCCAACGGGGTCTTGGCATTATTCAACAACATTTCTACTGGTTTTGCTTCGGACCCAGCATCTCGTTTCCGCCGGATAGCGGAAGTTTAAAAAACAATCTGATCGACATGGAAATTGACGAAGAAAAAAAAATACTACCGGTGTAATCTTTCTGCCTTTGCTGCCCTCTCCGGGGGGGACGACTGATTTCATCGGTACTTTATCGGTAGCAAAATCCCGGCGAGATGTCCGTCTAACCTCGGTGGCCGGCGGCCGCGCGCGAGATGGCTGATGGATGGTCTCTACGCATTTAATAGCATTGAGGTGCTTTGATGAACCGCGTCTTGGCGCCTTTTTTTTTTTCGTGAAGTTTTCGGTCTTATAAAACCGAAAGTCGGATATGACTACATTGAACCCCTCCCCCACGGGTGTCCAGAATATAGCTGTACGTGTTTATTTCACTGCCGTACCAGCAATGATGATGGAAAACATTTCGCCAATGTTGTACATTGCACACTGCAGCAAAGTCGGGCATGAAAGATGAAAGGGTTCGGCCCCCTCCACAGCGAGCTGTCTGGCTGCAACCCTTTTCCCCCCTAAACTCTCACCTTCCTTGCCCGGTAACGCACCGTCTGGGAGCGGGCAAATCATACCCGTCCTCCCCCTCCCCCACCGGACCTCATGAAGGCGTGCTTTTGGGTAGGTTATGCTGCGGCCTGCCGACACACGTGGTTTTTTTGATCTGAGCTTCTACTTTTGAGTTCTATCCCGACTTGGTATTGTTTGTTTGAACGTGAGGTATTGCATTGCCGGCCGAAGGGACAAAAGGTTCCCCAGGGATGAGCTGAACCTTGAAAACAATCTGAGCGGGAGCGGGAAGGGAAGCTGTCTTTGCCGTGACAGCTCGCCAATCCCCCCTTTCCCGCATTCCTCTCCCGCGAAAGCGTCGTAGTTCGGCAGATGAACCGCTTTCTTCTCAAAGCAGAGACCGCACTGACTAGACAGGTTGCAAATTGTAGTTGGGACGAAAAAAAGGAACATCTCTCGTCGCAGCATTTCTGCACAACCCAAAACCAGACGCTCGCATTGTTATGGTAGTGTATGGTTTATGGTTTGAACCATCTTAGGCTGCCCGAGACAATGCAAACTGCTCCACGACGCGATTGATGGAGGCTTTATCGGCTTTACTCCAGTCGACGCTCTTGAGCGACTCGCCGCCGCCGCCGCCGCCGCCGCCATGCTCATCCTCATCCTCCTGCTCCCCAAACAGCTTCCACAGCTCGTCGACGACAAGGCTCCTTACCCTCGGCCAGGGATGAAACATCAACGCGCCGAGCCGCTTCTTAGCCTCTGAGATACCGTCCCGTCTCTTACCCCGTAGTATCTCCTCCGCCTCCTCCTCCTCCTCCTCCTCCTTTCCGAGGTCCTCCCCAGTTACACCGGCACACATCTCGTCGAACCCAGCCACGCAGCCGTACACCTTGATACAAGCCTCCAGCTTCCTCACATTACCCGTCTTGTAACCCGCCTTTTGGACCTGCAGGCACAGGTGCCGCAGGTCGACCTCGCGACACTTTTGGAAGAGCCCGACGTGGCAGAGGAACGCCACGATCTCGAGCGTCGGCACCACCACGCGGTCTCCCTGGCCCTGGCCCGGCGTCTGCCTGGTCTTGACGTTACTCACCAGCGCCACGCAGACGGCGTCCAGGTTCCGCGGCGACGCGGCGCAAAAGTCGGCCAGCGCCGCGCGGGACGCGATGACCAGGTCCTCGTTGCCCGTGTCGGCCGACGTGACGTATCCCGCCAGCAGCTCCGCCATCCAGGCCCCCGCGTCGGCCCTGGCCGGCTCCGCGATGGGTGGCTGCAGGCTGTTTTCTGTCGCGTAGAGGCTTAGGAGGGTCTGGAAGTAGGTTTTTGACGAAAAGGTGAGCTTTGTAAAGGTTGTTGCGAAGCTGGTGTGTGTATACTTTGTTAGTTGGGGGCCTTTTTGTTTTTCGTTCCCTCGCCGTTCATGAGGCGACTGTCAAAGGTGATTAAGGGGGGAAAGGGGGGGGGGGGGAGGTATTCCTTACCTAGGCTCAACAGTCAGAGCAAGGACCGCGTGCGCTTCAGTCCGTACGCGATCCAGCTTCTCAGCAGCTAGACGCAGCGTCCGAAGGAACAGCTTCGAGACCGCCGCGGCAAGCCATTCCGTCTTGTGATCATTGGTTCCCCTGATGACAGAATGAGACCGATCCACACCAAGAGCCATAGTCCACAATGACCTCGTCGCCTTGAGCGCCTCCAACCTGACGTGCGATCCGATGTCGCCCCTCGCGTTCGTCGTATAATCGTTCAGACCCTCCGCCAGCAGGTCGAGGAACACGAGCGCCTGGTCCCGTAGCAGACCGCTCTGCGAGAGGGCCTGCAGGATCGCCACGCGCGTGTCAATGTCGTTGTCGCCGGCCCATCGAGTGAGGATGGTGTCGCAGACGACGCTGCTGCCGCCGTCGCTAAACGTAGTCGTGACTGGGTACGCCATCGTCAGCGCATAGAGCGCGCCCGTGTCGCTGGCCGCGCGCGATGTAGGCCGCTGCCGCACGGCGCCGGCCCATTCTGTGACGATGCGCGTGCGCTCTTGTGCGGGGGAGAAGACGAGGAGGACGAGGGCTGCTTCCGAGGACGCGGCGACGGCTTCCTTTTCTGTGCGGACGAGGCCTGCGCTGACGATGGGGGTAAAAGTCGAGACCAAGCTCGTTACGCCGTCGGGGATTATGTTGGTATCCTGGGCGTTGTCGGTCGTCTTGATGGCATGGAGTAGATTTTCGGTGTTATCTGTTGAGACGACCCTGTAGCCTGGCTCTAAGTTTATGATTGCGCCTTTGGGAGATGAAGTAGCTTGTAGGATAGGGAATGATGAAGTGATTAAACGGCTGTACGCTTCGGCGACTAGCTCCGGTCGACGATACGACGTCGTCTGGAATTCCTTGAAGAGGACCTCCAGTTCACGGACGATGCGGTGAGCGATTCCAGTGACGCTATCGACCGGCTTGCCGGCAAGCAGCTCGGGGAACTTATCCAGGACGGACGCGAGGCAGAGAACGAGACCATGTCGCTCGTCGACTTGGCGCGTCTGGAGCGTACGCAGGCGCACGAGCACCCTCTCGATGGACATCGTGAACTGAGCAACGTCGTCGTTTCCAGACCCGCCAGACGGAGACGACGAAGGCCCGGCTCCAGCTTGTCGCGCGAGCTCCAGCGTGAGCGTACCAAACGACGCGCCAGCCACGCGCCGCGAGACGACATCGGCGTCGCCTATGCCCCGCCAGCCGAGCAGGCCATCCAGCAGAGCGGCGCCGTACTGCGACGAAAGCTTAGTCGCGCTGAGCGCGACGTCGTGTACCGCACGCGAGCGCAGGGCGACGGTGTGGTAGTCTACATCCTGCACGACCCAGATGCCCTTTTCGACGGTATCCGGGTGCCGACCGATGAGCTCCTGCAGGGCGGCCGAGGCGCCGCGGCGGATGTTGCCTGCCGGGTCGAGAGAAGCTGTCACAGTGAGCTCTGTGGCGAGGACTTGTAGGATGGTGACGTTGGATGCGGCGCGATGATAGCTGCGTGCCGCGACGACGGCGGCGGTGGGGACGTCGAGGAGTTCCGGGGTGGTGTAGCGGCGTGCGAGGGCCCAGATGCCGAAGCAGGCTGCGTCGCGGACGTTTGTGCCGATGGAACCGCCCGAAGTGCTGCGTTTTTCGAACGAGAGGCCGAGAAGGAGGCCGTGGACGATGGCGGGAAGTTGAGACGCGGGTGGAGAGCGGCGGTAGAGGAGATGGGAGAGGGTGAGCATTAGGCCGTGCCATTCTAGGGGGTTGACGGCTGTAAGGTCGCGCGTGGTGGTGGCAGAAGAGGCTCCTTTGGGAGTGCCCGGGTCGCGGGTCCAAAAGACGTTGCGGTTGAGGGAGTCCAGGACGGCGTCGACGACTTGAGAGGCCATGTCCGGGTCAAGCTTGAGGGTGACGATGCTGAGGGCTTTAGAGGCGGCCAGCCGGACGGGGGTGTCGTTGTCGGCAAGGGATTCTAGAAGGTAACCTATGGACAATTCGACTAGTTCATCGGTGCTCTGCTGATCTGACGGGGACCTGTTGCTGCGTAGAAGGAGGACCGTGACGGAGCGAACGACTTTGATGAGCATCTTGCGCGCTACGGCGACGGAGCGGATAGCGCTTGAGAGGGACGGGGTGGATGTGGCCGTGGCCGTGGTATCCTGGGGGTCTTCAGCCGAGGCGACTGCATGCGCGGTGAGGAAGATGGGCGAGAGGTAGGCGTCCATATCGGAGGTGTTTATGGACGAGCGGAGGACGCCGGCGAGGAAGGAGAGGACGCCGATGTAAAAGTAGGGCGGCTGCGGCGGTGCCGGTGTCGCGGCGTCGGAGGATGATGAAGGTTTCAGGGAGGCGAGAGACCAGTGGACGAGGGCGGAGAGGACGCCTTGGGATTGCATGTCGCGGCGCATGGCGATGCGGATGAGCAGGGCGCGGGCGCCATCGCGCTCTTTGCCGGAGGTGGCGAGGTACTTGATAGCGAGGGGTAGAATGCGGACGGTGATTCCGGGGAGGTCATCGGGCCAGTCGAAGTCTGGGATCGTGGGGAGAGTGAGGTCCGGGTCGGCGGAGGCGGAGGAGATGGTTGAGAGGTCAAAAGGGGCGAGGAGGAGGTGCGAGAGCCAGAGGAGGACGAGGTAGCGCTCTTCCCAGGACCATTGTGCTATGGCACCCGATGAGGATGTTGCCGCTGCGGAGGATGACTGGGGCGAAGAAAGGGGGTTGAGCGCGGGGCGTGCGGTTGACGAGGCGCGCTCTGAGGCTTCAAGGGCCGAGAGAAGGGGCTCGATGTGGCGGGACTCGACGTTGAGGAAGCGAACAATGACCTTTTCGCCGCGGATCTTGGTGAAGGTGTAGATGATTTTGGCGATGGCGAGGTTCAGGGGTTCCAGGAGCTGGGAGCGGGTTGAAGCCGATGGCCGGGCCCGGGCCCGGGAGCGGGTGTTGAGGTGCTCTAGATACGTTGATGCAAGGAGGGGGAGCCACTCTGGTAGATGAGGATCCAGTAGCTGAGGCAGTTCTTGGAATGGATCAAGGAGCTATGAGACGTGTTAGAATCATGTATTGAATGTGTTCGATGTAGAGAGATATGAGATTCAGTGCAGGGGGGGTATCTACGCTTGAAGTCAGACGTGAGGTCTCTGACACCCTGACGCGGGCGCGGAGGGTCTTGCCATCAGGCTTGCGCAGGAAGAGCGGAAGCGAGCGAGAGAACTCTGCAATGAGCTCTGATGAGGCTTTTTGCAACTTGATGTCGCTATCGTCTTCGTGAGCATCCATGTTGGCTGACCGCTGGTCTTCGAAATAGGCTGAGAGGTTCGTAGACAATCGGCTGGGCTTTCATTCCATGTCTTGTAGCGGGGTGGTTGGGATGAGAATACCGAAGATTTCAGGACACTAAGTTCAGAACTTCGATCTGAACTCCAACGGTGAGTTTCCTGTTTCAATCTTCAGTTTATCTGGGTGAGGGACGTTAGGCACCAGACCTCGGATGAGAAATTGATCTGATGAATGAGTGAGGTTGAAGTTGTGGATACCTCGAATTCAGGCAGTGAAGTTGGGACAGTGCCGGTCACTGGTGTAGCCGAGTCACCCGCACTGTATAGGACCGCGAGCTGTACCTCCTCAATTCCGGTGGAGGTATAGTTGCTTTCGGTGCTTCTCCTTTATCCTATCGATAGTTCCAACTACCATGAAGTACAGCTTCTATTCAAGACCACCTTTTGCACTTAATTGTTACACTTTTTTAGTTGGGCTTTGCTTTCCATACCAATTGCCTCCAATCCCTAGCGTCCCTTGCGAAGTCGCGACCGACTCTGCGGGTAAAGGGGCGGTCTGCGTATGGTGTCTATCAACAACACCTATGTATAATTCGAGATAACAAACACTCTGTCAGTCATCGGTGTTGAACTTTATTCGAAAACCAACCTAGTCATATCATCAAATGGTTCAAGAATCAAATCAATCATCTGCCGAATACGGGCCTATGAAACGGACTATACAATTTGACGACAGCCCACCCCCAAAACATCGTCAGATCCATCGTCCAACCTTCACCCACTCAAACGAAACCGTTCTCTGCACCGCGTGCAAGGATGCTTTCAGCAAAGAGTCAGTCAAGGCCGACGACTTCCGTCGAAGAAGTCGCAATCAGCATCACGAGTCATCCGAGGATCTCGCCAAGGCAGTCGAAAAGGGATGTTATTTCTGTAAACGCTTTGCGCGTCACTCTGCGGACCCGAGCATTTCGACTGTTCTGAACGACGATCTCATTCTTCATCCAAGACCTGATCCCTTGAGATTATTCTTTGCGGGTTCTGAACAGCATACAGGACGCGCGTGGAGAGAGGATGATCTGGATGACTTGGTTTGTATTAATCTCCTCAAGCGTAGCCCAGGTGAGTTATACTGCCCCGATGAGCATCCGGTCCAAGGACTCGGGAGTCGGTAGTCTACTACTGAAATGACTGACGAGATATTAGATGACGAGCCACCTGCGCGGTTGAGTCCACGTATGGACTCGCAAGATGCTTTCATAACAATGCAAAGTGGCTCAATGACTGCGTCCGAAACCATCCCGAGTGCAAAGTTTTCTACAGCCATTCGACCTGGCTACCTTCCAGGCTCATTGATGTTGGAGACTCAGGTAGTCACTGGTGGAAGGTCATCACCACCGAGCATCATCAAACGCCTGCCAATTATGGAGGTTATCTCACGCTGAGTCACCGCTGGGGCTCTTCGCCATTCGTACAGCTCACGTCGGACACACTGCCCGCATTCCAAAACAACACAGCTATCAAGAGTCTTCCCAAGACCTTCCGCGATACGATCGCGCTGGCTCATCACTTCAATATTCGTCATATCTGGATCGACTCACTATGCATCCTTTAAGATAGCCCATTAGATTGGAAGAAAGAGTCCTCCAGAATGGACCACGTGTACTCCAACTCCACCTGCAACATCGTTGCCGCACACTCCGAGGGACCCTATGGTGGACTCTTCACAGCGAGAGACCCATCCGTCTTGGAATCGTTGGTTGTTTGCTCAGAGAGAACGGATATCCCGTCTCGCGAATACACCGTCTGGGATCACACGTCCATCCTAAACGACTACAACAGAGCCCCGCTGTACAAGCGCGGTTGGGTCTTCCAAGAGCGCTTACTGCCCAAAAGGACTCTTCACTTCGGTAAAGACCAAGTCTTTTGGAAATGTAGACGGCGCCTTGCCTGTGAGAGCTTGCCCGACGGCATACCGGTGGCACCAGACAACGACGTGGTCGAGCGCGAGAAAGGCGTCGCCCGAATACGCAGAATGCGCCCCCAAGAGGAAGAGGATTCGCCAGAGGATGAAGAAACGTTCGCAACTGTCTGGGAGCACCTGGTTGAGGAGTACTCGGGCTGTAGCTTGACCTACGAAAAGGACAAGCTCGCGGCCTTGAATGGAATGACCGGCATCTTTTCTAATACCTCCTTGAGTCGATACATTTCCGGTATCTGGAATACAAACATCGCCCGACAAATCTGCTGGAGCTTGAACCCTGCGGCGGAAAAGAAGTCCCGACCTGCTCATCCCGCCCCATCTTGGTCGTGGGCTTTCGTGCAAGGCAAGGTCTCGTTCAAGGCCATCGTGAACAGCGACGAGAGCATCTTACATCTCGCGCGTCATATCTACCATAGCGCCCATAGCAATGCTCCCGCAGGACGCCGCATACCACTCGGAGGCTATATCAGCATGAGCGGCAGCGTTTATACTCTCAAAGTGTCGAACATGTCCAACGGCGGGGTTTCGCTGAGTCTTGATGGAAGGTCGGAGCGACTGGACTACAACCCTTTCGTCTTTGACTTTTATCGGAAGGATTTACTCCCCGTGGAGGTGGTCATCTTACCACTCATGTGCACCAGGGAACCTCCCGTCAACGCAGAGGGCGTCGAGATTGCCGGTTTGATATTGCATCCTTTGGGCTACATCATCGACGACTGCGGGAACATGGCACTTCGAGGATCCTACAGGTACGAACGTGTGGGGTTCTTCAATTTCAGGCTATATGATGGGAAAGGACAACGATTGCTCTACGGGTCGCATTTCACCGAGGCAGAGAAAATCAAAGGCCCGTCCAGGAGCAATCACCGTATACATTTAGAGTATTCCGTCTTTCGTAATGATAACAGACCATCAACATCTGTGATTCACAAAGTGAATGTGATCGTGTCTATAAAGCTCGAGTCTGATAGAGAAGAGGTCTTTCCTGCAGATATTGCGACTTCATTGTAGCTGAAATCGAGCCCATAGTGCTTTAGTCGCAAATTCGAATACTGATGATAGACAGCACGTTTTCTGAGTCCGAGAATCTACTGAGGAGAGATATAACATGAGCTTAGCCTCTAGAGAAAAGCACTACACGGTTACGAGGAGGGCTATACCCAATATATCCCAATTCACAGACATTTCACTGAACGAAAAAAGAGGCATCATGGGACCAGATATGACACACACACAACAAAAGTGATAATTCTATAAAGTCTAAAAAAAAGAGGATAAAGTATATAAAGGCGTATCAAAGAAAATACACCTAAATTAGGATGATAATGATGATGATGGCGGTGATAAGGATGCAGAGTGATAATGATGCTGAAGTGGGTTAATAATACCAATCGAAACCCCTTTTCGATCCTCCCTTCCCCCCCTTATGACAGAACCCAGCAATAAAACAAGATTCTAACAAAGGAGATCCTTCATTTCGTCCCCTTTCCATCCACTGAAGCAGTGTCCATCCCGCCCCTTTCCCCCAGTCTTTCACCCGGGTTCTAGCGGGATACTGCTGTAAGAAATGCTACTGCTGTCTCTTCCGACCACTCTACTCTCTCTCACTCTCTCTCTCTCCTTCCTCGTCTAATTTCCCCCAATGCAAGGTTCAGATGTATCCTCATCTCTGGGCGTAATCGGCGTGATACAATGACGGGGCGTGATAACAATGATGATGAATAACAAAACAAGAAACACACACACTGAAACAATAATGATGTTGGATCCACACACTTTTCCGAAGCTTGGATGAGCGGGGTTCCAAACCACCCATGGATTCCAGGACTACAAAAAGTTTCTTCTTTCTCGAAAGCCGTCCGCAAGGAAGAGATGACGATTGTAAGAAGGAGAAAACAAAACCTTCCAACTCATACCACAGAGAGAGGGAGAAAAGCACAAAGTTTCAAAGAGTGCAGAAGGCGCAGGCGAATCTGGCTTCACTTCACTCCCCTCAACTCCGCAACATGCTCCCCCCCGACGCACATGAGTCTTCAAGTTTCCCTCTCCTTCTGTGGAAGTCTCCCCCCATTACCAAAACGGCCGAGAGAGAAGAGGAATAGTGCATGTCTAGTCCCCAAGGAGGAAAGGAAAAAGCCACGGAAAAGGTGGGAATATTGCAACCAAAGAGGGAAGAGAAGCCGAAGCATTCAAAACCCCCCTTTACAGAGCCAAAACGGCAACGACACCGGCAACGAGAGCAACACCAGCAGCAGCGGCGTTCTTCTCGGCGCCGGCGACGACGACGGTCGTAGGCTTGGTGCCGTTGGTGCCAGCGGTGCCGGTGGCCGGGCAGTTGGGGCTGCCGGGGCAGACGAGCGCGCCGGTCTGGCTGGGGGTAGCAGCACCGCCGGCACCACCAGCGCCACCGGAGGCAGCACCACCAGCACCACCAGCACCGCCGGCTCCGCCAGCACCGCCGGAAGCAGCGGGAGGGCAGTTGGGGCTACCGGGGCAGACGACGCCAGCGGAGCCGGTCTGAGCAGGGGGAAGGACGGATCCCGAGGCGCCGGGCGGGCAGTTGGGGCTGCCGGGGCAGGTGATGAGGCCGGTCTGGGTGGGGACGGCGGGGGGCACGTCGGTCTGAGCGGGCGGAGCGGGGACGACGTAGCCGGTCGCGTGGGCGCACTCGGAGCACTGGTTGGTGGTCTTTGGTGTACGTGTTAGCCATGGCTTCGGACCAGAGGGGATGTTCGTCAGAGGTAGAGAATGAGGAAGGGTAAACTCACGTAGGTCTGGGTGCAGGGGCAGTCGGGGATGATGAAGGTGGTGGGCTGCTCAATGGTGTAGGTGCGGTTGTTGAAGCAGAGGGTGGTGGGCTGGGGGCAGTAGGTCGTGACGGCGTCCCAGACCTTGGTGATGGTGTAGGTGCCGTTGGTGTAGACGTGCTCGTAGGCCGAGGCCGTGCCGGCGACGAGGGCGAGGGAGACGAGGGCGGATTGGATCTGCATTTTGTCGGTTGGTTGGTTGGTGTAGAGTGTTTGTGTGTGTGTGTGTGTGTGTGAGTTGTAGTTGTTGACTGTTGTCGGTTATCGAGTTACTTGCTGAGCGAGTGAGTTTCGAGGGAGCGTGAGGGATTGTCCGGAGAGCAAACAGAGCTAGTTAATGATTGTTTGAAGTTTTTGGTTTTCTTGTTAAGGAGAGTGAGTTGCAATGTTTTGGATTTTCTTTTCAAGAGAGTGACTGAGGCCAATCGAAGCAAATAAAACGAAAGGGGGGGAACCTCCGAACAAACGAAAGAGTTCTTGGATGGATGTATGTGAGATGTGTGTGTGTGTGTGAGGGATGAAAGGGAAAGAGAGGTGTCACAAGAAAACGGTTCAAGAGCCTCCTTCTTATGTCAATCTCATACCGATACCAAAACACATGAAAACACACCAAACGTTCAACTCAGAACCAAAATAAATCAAAAGATATCCACCGGAACGGCACGCTCAGGGGTTGGCGATACCCAGACAAGCTGACGAAAAGGCTTAGCCTTGCAAGACGGAGGAAAGGGAGAGGAAATGCTAAGCCGGGAACCAACGAAATTGTCTCAGGAACACGACGACTACTTCCCACCTTTCCACTCGAAAAAAGGAGCCTCTGGTTCTCTGGAACACGGCAAGATTGGACGTTGTGAATCTTGGTTCTTCGGGACCAATGAGAAGCTCCGGCCTCGCGGCCGGGAATGTTGGTGGAGTCGCCCCGGGCCCGTGTTTGTTGTGGTCCGTTGAGCTGCCAAGAATGTTTCCACCGGCCGCCGGTAATGTGGCGCATTCCAGCATTTCAGGTCCAGGAGGGAAGAAAGTCGGCAAAGACGGAAACCAAACGTAGATGGGACGAATGAGTTGACAAACACATGGAAGGGGGCCAAGAGTAAACACACCTTCCTGCCTCGACTCCTTTCTCCCATCCTATTTCGAGCTCTGCAGATTTCATCATTGAAGCATTCCTGTCACACAGGGGACACGAGCATGCGAGCACCGGCATGGCAAGTTTGTGGTACCGCTTTCATATGCTTTCCTCTCATTCGGAGGCGAGTTGAAAAGGCCGAGCGTTGTGCGCCCCCACTCGGTTCGTGGAGCTTTGAGATATGTACAGTTGGGCCAGAATTGCTCCTGGACCGCTCGTCTCCCTTTTTGTCCTCCCCCTTAGCCCACAGCAAGTTACTCGCTTTGCGATGTCCACACGACATCCACTTCCGGCATACCAATTGGCAGCGAAATCGCCCTCATCCTCCACTCTTCTGACGAACAAAATCGTTCATCCGTCGCCGTAAGCTCGTCTCGGGGGTCGTGGTTGAGACTGCGCTCTTTCATGCCGTCCTTCTATGATCGTCCGCCCCACCCAGCCAGTTATGATTGAAACAAAATGAGAAATTAGAAGAGAAGAAAAAAACCAAAAAAAAACGGAATAAAAAAAGTCGAGTCCGCGTGTGATGATGACGGCGAGGTCATGCGCAAGCAGAGTCGGTTTTGCCGACTCAAGGGGTCTCCCTCTAAGAATAGTTCCATCCCCAACGCCTTCATTTCCAAAATAATCAAGATGGCGGCCAAGATCAGCCCTGGTTGGGGGCTACTCTGTTGGAAAAAACCGAAAGATCTTGCCCACCGCCCGTTGATGAATCAAAGACCATCCACTACGTATGCACAAGATTATGGGTCGAGGAAAGTGCCGAGAATTGCCAAACGGCCTGCGTGTGCCAGTATCGATGGAGTCGATCCTAGGAACGCGATCGGTCTTGTTGTGACGAGATTGTGCAAGAAAAAAAATGCGTCTCATATTGAGTTTGGGGGAGCAGAGTTGCGTAATATCAAATATTCCGTTCATTTGCGGTTCGATCGGCTCGTGCTTCGCTCCAAGCCGCGGCCGCCGCTGGTGACTGAGTCGAAATCGTAGTTCTTCAGGGTGTGTTCGTACTTGGGGCTCCTCAGGAATTTGGGAACCGAGTCCTGCAAAAACAAGTTGGGTTAGTATAAAATCCTCACATTCCACGGTGCATCAGTCGGAACAATAAACATACGCTTGCCATCAGTTTAAAAACTGCGTTCTGGGCATCTTCAAACAAAGACATGACCTCTTGCAAAGTATCGATCATGGCTACATCCTGTCCGACAGCCTTGGTCATTCGAGTCGCCAGGTTGTTGCGAAGCTGATGGTCAATGTTCAACTCGCAGGGAGAGCCGGGGGCGAGGAATGCGTTATAAATCCCGTATGCCTGGGCCATGATCTCCTTGATGCCGTCCATTGAGCTCGCATTGGGGTTCTTCTGCGCGATCCGAATCGCCTGCCGGCAGCTTCGAACAAAGTCGTCGACGTCGAGGTAAAAGGAAAGATTCTCCTCGCAATGTGTTTCGCGCAGGTTTTCTCTGAATAGCAGACGAAGGGCCGCGTCGTTGAGAATCTTGTCGAGCCGTTGGGTGTTGGAGTCTCGCGCGATAGCGTTACGAGAGGGTGTGACGACCTCGCTTTCTGACGTTCTTCCCCGCGAACCGAGACCGTTGATCAGATCCTTGCCCTTTGCTGTCAATTGGTAAATGGCATGCTTTGTGGGCTGGAATAGGTTATTGCTGGGATATTGTGCCATATGAGCACGGTCTTGTACCACGGGCTCCATCAAGTCGTACTCCACGAACAGGGACGCGATGTCGTACGTCTCCCGCCTGTCTACGGTTGTGCAGCAGTCCATCAACCAATCAGTGGCGGCCTTGCCAGTAAAGGTATCTTTGTACGTCTTGCCGTTCACCTTACGCTCGCTAGCCATCTTGACACCAGTCAAGCCATCCTTGTAGTCGCTAAGTGAGTCCGAGTCGGCTGAGCTGACGCTCGATTTGACATTGGGGCCGTGTGTTCCAATGAATCTCCTGAAAATGACCTCAATTGTGCCGCGATCCGTGATGAGCTTGTCCGTCTGGCCGTCCCGCTCGAGAATGACGAGTTGCGAGAGTGTTGCGCCAACCAAGTCGGATATCGACTTTTGTTGGATACCGTTGCGTGAGCAGAAGCGATCCAACACGGTCACGCCCTTGGGCGTCAATTGCCACACGGAACCCTTCATGTTGTACACCTGTTGGTACTTTCCATCGGCCGACTCGATGAATCTCGCTTCGAGGAACTTTTGGCAGATGGAGCGTGCCATGTCCTTGGCCATGGAGAAAGTCGTCGTTGTGGTCGTCGTAACTATCCTTGAGGGGTCTTTGGGGTCGGGCATACGGTTGGATTGAGAAATTTGAGAGAGCCCAAGTTGTTGATCGCATCTTCGGACAAGAACGTGTTTTCCACACGTGTTAAGCGTACTCGGTGTGCAGACAAAGGCAAGAGGCTGACAATCAGTGTTGAGTAGAGATCCTTGAAGTCCTGTCATCGTTCCACGTTAGCCATCTGTGAACCACGGGGTTCGATCAAAGCGACCGGGAACGCGACCGGGGCACTGGATGCGCGATTCTCGTCGAGCAGGTCGGGAATTGGGAGAAATGGGACTGACCTTTGTGAACGGCCGGTCATCATCCGTCATGCGGAGAAGCCGCGAGGATGTTTGGTGCATCTTGCTTTCGATACTCGGCAATCGAATGGGAAGGGGCCTGGTCGGATCGGTCTCGCTATATGGCTGAGAGGGGATATCCTGTACCAGCGACACCTGGCTTGGATACTTGCCCTCTATGTTGTTCAGGGTGCTGCTGGAAGAGGACGAGTAATTGGAGGGGCTCGTATATCGTGGATATTTGTCTTGGGAACCCAGATTGGCAGAGTAGTCGGAGGCAGAGTCGGGGGTCAAAGAGGCGCGGCCCAATGCGGAACTGGAGGCGCGCTGGCGGACAGACTGGTCCGAGGAGAAGGTAGCGAGTGCAGACTGGGTCTTGTCAAAGGCAGCAGCAGCGAAGCCAAAGATACCACCAGAACGCTGAAGTTTGTAGAGGGAACTGGTAGAAGGCGAGTGGTGATGAGAGCGATAATACGGTCGGTTCACCGAGGGCGCCTGTTGTTGTTGGAGTTGCTGGTGTTGTTGAGCGTAGTAGGGATGGGTCGATGATGATGTAGTGGTGGTGGCAGTGGCAGTTGCAGCAGCAGCAGCAGCAGAAGGAGGAGGAGTGCTGGAAGTGGTGGTGGTGCCGGTGCTGGTGCTGGTGGTGGTAGTAGTAGTAGCGGTGGATCGTGGATTAGCACTGGTAGGGTTGGGGTTGGCTTTGTGTGTGAGAGGTTGAGAGCTGGCCTCGTTTGACAATGGCTCGTGGTTCGGAGGTCGGGATGTCTTGGAGACAGCGGCCATCTAATGGGAGGAAGAGGGTTAGAAGAGGCGCAGAAGGCAAGACGGGTGTTCAAATAAAAGGCACGGCGCAGAAAATGGAGAAGGAAAAAAAAACTGAAGAGAAAGCGGGTGGTTTGGTGAGGCAGGGCGTGAAGGAGGAGAGGAGAGGAGGTGTGTGGTAGTGGTAGTGGTGGAGGAGAAGGAGAATAAGGGACAAGGGCTGCGAATGGAGCGAAGAGGGAAAAAAAAGGTACTTGGCCGAGACGAGGTACAGTACGGAGCACACAGGCCTCAAGGGGTTGATGTACAAGTAGACGGCGGAACCCTGTAAGTAAAAGATACAAGGGGGGGCAGGCTAATGGGAGTGGGAAGAGCGTGGGAGTGAGACTTCTGGCTGACAAGGGGAGTGGGGGAGTGCAAAGTAGGTGGGAGGAGGAGGGTAAGGTACGGGAGTACTTGTGGACTTTCCATGCCTGGCCTGACGGACGCTCCACGCTACGGCTACGACAAGCAGAAAGAGAGAGAGCGGGCAGTAGCCGGGCAGAACTAAGGCACCTTCAAGTACCTAAGTCAGGGCCAGCAAGAGAGCAGAGCAGAGCAGAGCCCAGGGCAGTAGATTTTTGAACCACCTCACCTCGACCACAATTGAGAGGATAAAGATGGAGTACGGAGTAGTGTAGGTAGGTAGGTAATTGGGGGGGGGGGGGGGGAGAAGTGAAAGGGAAGAAGGGATGAGATGCCGATGATGAAGCGAAAGCCAAAAAGCGAGATGATGGGATTAGACAGGCAGTCAAAACCCAGGTACTCCAGAAAGTGAGACCGAGAGCACCCATACACAGAGAGACAAGATAATGTCGGACATCGTGAACAAGGCTGCTCTCTTCCTCTTCTCTCTATCCACGCCACACTTGTTTTTGCTGCTTGAATGAAGCTTCCGCCGGGGACTTGCTCACCTGCGGCTAGGAGTAGGGGGCCACCCACGCGTGGGAAACAGGTTGATTTACAAAAATAACGGGGGAGGGGTGATTATTTTCTTCCAGGACCACGGGAAGAGGTAATTCGCACTAGGTATAGGGTAGGTAGTATGTACTCGGATGATGAAATGGTTCAACAAGATTGGATAGAGGAAGGGAAAAGAACGAAAAGTTCGAGACTTTGGTTACGGGCGGATGATGACTGGGAAGAACGTGGATGGGGGAGATTTGAGAAATGCGGGCTACGGATATGACCGTCGTGCCTGTGCGCTGCCGCAGGGTAACTAGGTAATAGGTAACGGTACGGGAGATACTGACTTGACCGAAGAAGCTGCAAGTACACGATGATCCAAACAATTCGATCTAATTTTTTCTTTGGCCAGAGAGTCCAGGCGTGACGTGATAGTCAAAGCTATTCGTCTCTGAATGGCCACCGGGGGACTGGACTGCGGGCTTGAAGGATTCTGTCTGCAGATTTTCAAGCCGCGCTTGGTGACATGTGTGTTATGTGTGCCAGCCCAGTGTGTAGTGGAACGGACGGGGCGGCGGCGCGGGCGGGCGCGGACGACGGACGAGTTTTTTTGGCGACGGTGATGTGCGAAAAGGACGACGGCGGGCCAAGGGGACAAACCGAGGCGAGCAGGAGCAGGAGCAGGAGACGGCCCCTCAGAAAGAAGGCCGACGAGGTAAAGTGGACGATGCGGATGATGCGCGCGTAGGTAGGTATGTGTGTGAGAGTCTGAGAGATGAGACGGGAATAACAGGTGTAGCAAATGGCAATAAGCCAGCCTCGCAACCCGATCCAAGCACCTTCACAGTGCTACGTACGGATACCGCAGAGAGGAGAACACGAGGAATTGGGATTGGTGTATGGATGGTGACAAGTTAAGCGTGGTGGCTGACGCTGGGATGGAGTACTCCGTAGATGGGAAACGAGGGGGTTGATCTGGCGAGTACCCTTTCTCCTTTTTTTCCAGGTCGAGGTTTTACGGAAGTGCTGGGTCAAGGTCAAGGTGTAGTAGGTAAGGTAAGGTGAGGTAAGGCCAGCCAATGTCTCCGTAGTATAGGTAGCCTGTAGGTAATAATCGGTATCCGTAGTTCCAGGTCCAAGGTGTGCGAGTGAGGTCTGAGGTGTGGACGGTAAGGCCAGGCCCGGGGTGGGAAAGGGAAAAAAAAAAAGGGGGGGGGGGGGGGGGGGTGCGGGGGGGGGGGGGAGGGGGGGGGGAGGGGGGGGGGGGGGGGGAGGGGGGGGGGGGGGGGGGGGGGGGGGGGGGGGGGGGGGGGGAAAAGGGAAAAAAAAGAGGGGGGGGGGGGGGGACTATCTCCGTAAGAAAGGAGACGATGCGGGAAGAGCGAAGACTTGAGACCGAGGCTCAGCAACGTGAGACTTGACGGTTCCCCCTTCTCTTTGGTTTTAGGTGTTTGCGCTTGGCTGGCGTGCGCCGTGGTGTGTGGATGGAGGGGGGGGGGGGGATAATGCGCCTTTGGTATGGTAGCCAAGTATCCGTATGGGATTTGCTGCTGGTAAGAGGCTAGAGCAGGACCGGAATAGGGTCCTGTTTGATATTTTGCGACTATGCCGGCCCCGTACGATATAGGACGGGCAGTCAGCGGTAGTTCGATTAGACTGAAAATTGGCTTGCGGGTTGTGTGAACTAATTTTCCCCTCTCTCTCTTTCTCAATCTCTGTTGGGTTCCTCTCTCGTCTGGGTCGGCGTCTGCGTCTGCATGCCCCTAGGTTCTCGTAGGATTCGGGAAAGGTAAACCGAGAAAGAAGAAAGATACGCCGTATGGAGTAACGCAGTAAAAAAAAAAACGAAAAAAAAAGGGGAAAATGAAATAAAACCGGGGGGTGGAACTCGTGGAGGCAATTTTGGGCGTTTGACTGATGGATCGATGGATTGATCTAGAGTCCAGAGGTACGGGATACTAGCTGGCCTAGCTGGGATGGGAAAGATTGGGGAGCAAGAGAGAGAGAGAGTTTATCCCCTTTGGTCGGAACTTGTCCAGCAACGAGTCCCACGAACAGGCGAAAGAAAGAGTGGACGAAACGTGAAGAAGCCACGAGACTAAGAAGACCCCAGGACGAGAAGTCAGCCAGGCCGACGCGGGTTCAAACATGGACCAGGGGCAAGGGAAAAAGAGAAGCCAGCGAACCCGATCTTTCTTAGGGGCGAGCCACGGCAGCTGACGGGCGAGAGAAGTAGGGAATGATGTGCAGGACGGAACAGGAATAGGAACAGGAGTACTCCGTACGGAGTAGAAATAAGAGCAAAGAGGTGGAAAGTTTGGGGGAGAAATGCCATTCAACGTGTTCTTATTCTTATTTTGCCCAACTTTCTTGTTTCCCTCTTGTATGGGCAGACCCGACACGTTTTGTCGTGCTCATAGATTCATTCTTTGATACTCTAATGCAACGCTCTTGTATCCGTATACATACTTGCTGCCGTGTGTGTGTGTGAGTGAACCAGGTGGGCCATCGGAACAGGCTGTCTGTCTGCATTTCTCATTCGATAGAATCATAGCCATGCAAGGTAGGCTCTTCGCCAACGCAAACCAAAAGACGGGAGCCATGCCGTGTGGCCAGCCATGCCGCAACCCCCTTCACGGATGAATAGAGCTCGTTGCTGCCACGAGGCAGATTGATAATGGTGGTGCCGCCTGCATGCATGTCCTCCGTGGTCGTCTCTCACCGGCCGCCATCCATCGCCCGCTAACCCACTGTTCCTGTAGGGTACCTTTTTTTATTATAATTATTTTATTAACCCAATGATGAGACCTTGTTATTGCGAGGTTGTTTCTTTCAGTCGTTTCCAGAACTTCCTTTGCCCGCCGGAAAATTGTCTTTCCCTAACGGTTGACAAGGTGGAACCATACACTGTCGTCATTGTATCTGAACGGTTTCTAGTTTCCATCCGTAATGAAAGGTTTTGTATCCGTATCGCACCGTAAAGAGGTGAAAGCGAGAAGGTACGGAGTATGAATGGAGCGGTTGAGAGAGATATCCACCACCAAGTCCCGCTGGACGGCGGCCCATTGCAGTGAAAAAAGGTGTCGTGTGGGGACCCTGCCCCCAATGGAAGGACTCCTCCATTCCACCGCACTCCCCCCTCTGGAAAGCACACATGCCGTGGCTCCTTCTTCACCCCTCACCATCCGGGACGGCGTGACGGAGGACGGAGGTGAGAGACAACTCTCACTCTCACTCTCACATGAAAGCTCCTCTTATCCTCTCATCTCGAAAGATATAGCCCTTTCACTCACTCTCATCCACTCATTCACTCACTCACTTACTCACATATCCATACTCTCATATTCGCTTTTACAGCTAGCAATAGCCTACCTAATCAACGTCACCTTCCCAAATGCACATGCGAGCAATGAAGTATCGTGCTCTGTACCTAGCCACATCGCAAAGCTATATACCTTACCCTTGCTCAACACCACCCCCCTTTATTTTCCTCAACTCCACGCCCAGGGGGGGGGGGGCAACTGAACCTGGTCCCCTCACTTTCTGCCATGTGCCCTGCCTGCGCCTTCGCCATGAGGCACGGCGCCTCCCATTCCCATCAACTCCTCACTCAATCACACCTCACCCTACCCAAAAGGTGCTGCCGCTCTCTGGCTGGCTGGCTGGCTGGCTGGCTACTTTACCCCAGTCACGCCTTACGCAGCATGTCGTAGGGATTATTTCTATCATATCTCGCCGCGCGCTGCCGCAACCGCAACCGCAACCGCACCTCGCCTTATTGCAGAACTCCCGACTATTGCGCCGCCGCCGCCGCACGCCGTATTGAATCCCTCCCTCCGTCCTCCCCCTTCCCTTGCCTTCCCTTACCCCTGGTCGATGCCGTAGGTATCCATCGGACCATCCCTCTTTCCCTAGGGCTCCTTGTCCTGGCTATGTGTATGTGTGTGACCCCGTCCCTCATCCTTACCTCATCTTTTCGAAGAGAAACAAAGGCCCCGTTGTGATACCAGAGATGTGCGGTGTGCTGAGATTCGCGGCCATCGGGGCTGGACCCATGGCCTGGCTATGTCTACGTA